TACTTCTGGTTTGGTGATGAATTCTTATCTTGACGATCATCTGGAAGATAAACAATGTTATTTTAGTTTGGGTTCTTTTTCGACTAAACGAAATTTAAATTTGGACTGAAAGTTGCGTTTTATATTTTAGGTATGTGCTGCCCCTTGGTTTTACCTGAAACTCAAGTCATTTGTTATTTAAACATTGTGCTAAAACATATGTAAGGATTGGCCTGGGTAATTACATTGGTACTTCACACGAACCTTCTGAAGTTGAATAAATTTTGCTTGAAATATGAGACATTTCAAGAAAGTCGGTTGGTTGTTGCTCGACAAGTCACGATGGCTGGGCTCTCCAAAAGAAACTTAACTCACAATCGCACTTGTATTAAAGACATTTCTACTGAAACGATAATTTTTGTTACCTCAAATGCGTTTTCCCGTTCTTTTCAACTGGCATTGTCCCTTGTCCCATGCCAATCAACCGAAGATCCAAAAACTCGAGGAAACGCGGTGCGTGAAAATAACCTCAAACAGAACATGGCCTTTCTTTTCCGCAGTCACACTTTTATATCCATTGCCATTTAAAAATTCTAGGTCTCACAAAAGCTGTGATTTTGATAGTGAAACTTTCGGGCTGCCGATACCTCTTTGGTCATAAAAGTCTGGTCAAAAGTGTTGCGTGACAGTATTCACAGGCTTCCCAATCTAACCATTTGAGCGACGCCTTTTTTAATGTTCTTGCCAGAAGTAGCATATTATGCTACTAACAATCCAAATCATGTTTTGTTTCCTTTTTTTCCTAATTTTTCTTAAAGTTTGATTCCATACAATACTAAATAAGTCCAAAAATATCGTTTTTCACGTCAACTTTCCCCCGTTGCCTTGTATGTGCCTTTGATTGACTTCAGGCTTCAATCTCTAGCTATTTCACCTCGTTATTACCTATCAGGCGGCTGTCTTTCCTCTCGCATATCCAAGTTCCATTGTTTTGGATAACAGTTTCCGTAAACATTCTGCAATTATTTTTCAGTATATATATATTTTTCTAATCTGAACATGGTTATTCGATCGTCAAACTCTTGCTTCTGTTTATACACAGAGGAACCGCGCATTGCGACCACCCCGTTTATACGACCACCTCTTGCTCAGCTCACATCCCATAGTCTTTCTACCCAGACCTGAAAATCTCCGAGTCATTTTATTCTTTTGAAGACCTCTTTAATGCGACCACCTCGGTATTACGACCAGGATTTTATGGCCCAACGCTGGTCGCATCAACGGGGTTCCACTGTATTTTTTAATTTCAGTTTTCCACATTGTAGAACAAAAAACAAAAAAATGTGTGTCAGCTGGACTATGGAAATTAATGTAAAGAACTAAAATTTAGGCCCCGCTTATATGAAGGAAATTTGTCTCGAGCAGAAGGGTCACCCGCCTATCCGAACTTCCCTGGAAGAGGCAACGTTTCACACATTTCCTTACAAAACATGGCGAACCGTTTAAATTACAAAAAGTTGGCTCGGCAAGAAGGGTGACCCACTTTGTCCAGTCACCCTTTTGTAATGGTAGGGTCAGCCTCCTAGCCGGGCCAACGTTTCTCCCTAGGCACTTTGCGCTCTTTCCATTGAACAAAAATTCCTGTTTGAAATTTCGGAAAAAGCACGTGCCCAGTGGAAGGTACATTCCAGTTGCAGAGACCAAACCAAAGCCACCGCGAGTTTGGTTATCGTGCTTGTAAGCAGGATACAGATCATTGGTCCTGGGGAAAATAATTTTGTCAAATGGAAGGAGACATTTCGGTCCGACCGACTAGATCAAATCCGATCCGTATCTGTGAAGCGCTCGCATAGCCAAGGTAAGACAATTAGAGCATGCGCGAAGGCCGGTTGGGGTCAATGTTTTTTTTTTCTCGACTGGGAAAGTGACTCTCCTACACGAGACAGGTTTTCTCCATATAAAGGAAATTAAAACTTTCGGATACGAAATTGTAATAGAGAAGGAATCAGAAAAAATTTCAAAATTCTCGAAAAAAATAATATTGAAGCCCTTGTAATTTCGATCGAAAAGACTACTCAAGTTGCCCTGTGGATGACCGAACAGTTGTTATAATTATATGGCACCGCAAAGAACTTAGTAATTTAGATAGCCTAAAAGGGTTTTCAATGTATTTAGGAGGAAAATGTCGCTGGGTGCCCCTGTCAACTACCGCCTAACACTACCACTACTTTCTTTACCCACATAGTTTTTTTTTTCAGTTTTACTCTCGGTCATTTGCATTTTCGGAGTGTGCGCTTTGGGCCCGGCTTGAGACCGAAACTTGGTGGCTCGTCAGAAATTCATGATCAGAACTCTTGAAAAGAAATTCTCGGACCATAACTTTCTCTGGCCGTCATCAATGAAACGGACATTGAGGCTGCATCCGCTTCTGGGCCCGTTCAATTCTCGAAAGTCACGATAATTAACGGGCCCCTAAAGCTGTTGTTGTTTACATGCAAGATAGAAATTTCAATAGTTTTGCATCTAACATGATAAAACTATCAGTTAATGAAAAAATGAAGAATTTTGCTAGCCAGGACCCGCGCTCCTCTTTTTCCTTATAGTTATAGGGACTTTGGACAAACGGGCCCCTGGTCCGTGGTCAAAGGCCGCAAGACGGTATTTACTGGAAAAGTAAACTTAATGCTTTTGCCTAAACAGTGTCCTTTTAACGGCAATTTGAAGACGTCAGGGCCTAACCCATTGGTAAACATGTTTGATTCCAGCTTTCTAAATTGCTGTATCTGCGGTATATCATCTTAGTGTCAGATTTTAAGGCTTGTTTGAGTAGCCGAGCATGCTTTAAGGTGGCTCGATACAGTTTTTCAGGGCCAATACCTCCCAAGTTTGAGCATAAACTACGTCGCGATAAACAAAGTTTTGGAAAAATTGCCATCACAGTTGTATTAGATAAAGATGAAAATTTGTTATGATCAGGGCTGCAATGACATCGGAGTTGTCATAGCAACGAAATGACGCTATTACCTATTTTACTCACAGAATTATTTCTCGGCACTGGGAACTGTTCTTCCAAAATCATTCACGGGAGTTTTTTCCTCCAATAGTCGCCTCAATGTTCGTGAAGTTTAAGCGAAATCTGTAAGAGCGTTATCATTGCAGCCCTGATTCAGAGCCACCCTTCCCCAAAATATACATATGAAATAACATGATTTTTTTATTGCGATTCTTCACTCAAAACAAAAAAAAAAACTACTCAGTGTTCGTGTGTACTGGCAGGGTGTATGATTTTGATGTTTTCCAAATTCCTTAATAGTCAATGCTTTTATCACACGCGCAGGTGTCCGAAAAACTGACCACCACTTTACACTTTTAAATCAAGTACTGTTGGCAGCCAGACTATGCAACCTTTCAGTTGTTGTATAATTGAAAAAATAACTTTGGAAACATCAAAGAAATGTATAAACAATTTTGTGTTCTGCTCATTCTTAAGTTCGAAGGATGGTGTTCGTTGTCACGCAACACCACTCGTTGTCTTCTCACACTTCCTCCCTGTATGTTGTAACTGTGATTCTATTAAATGGTAAGAACATCTTTCAAATTGCCGAAAATGTCTTAAAAACATATTTTTCTCGTGAAATATTTTGTTCAACCATCTCAAGAATTTAGATCATAACGCTCATTCGGTTTGAGTGACATTTTAATAACCTGGCCCATCTCCAATGACCTCTCGTTAGAGGTCAAATTACAAAATGCCTTAGCGCCAGCAGAATTTTGGAGCTCGAGAGTAGAAAAAGTAAAACAAGTGTCCCAAACTATAAAGGTAAGTTAATTCCTATTGCATCTTAGCAAATTAACTATCGTACTATAGAAGTACATTAGGTTTCTTCTCAAGAAATGCCAATGATCCCTAATTTCGGCAACAGCAAGGCGTTGGTGAATTATGCAAATGTCTCATATTTCACTCAAAATTTGTACAAATTCAGAACGTTCGTCTGAAGCGCAAATTAAATTACCCAAGCCAGTTCTTACATATGTTTTAGTACAATGTTTAACTAAGTCATAGCTTGAGTTTCAGGGAAAACCAAGGTGTAGCACATGCCTAAAAATTAAATCGCGACTTTAGGTCTAAATTTAAACTTCGTTGAGTTGAAAAAAAAAATCAAAACTAAAATAAAATTGTTTACCTTCCAAATTATCGTCAAGATAAGAATTAACCGCCATTCCAGGGCTAAAACCCTTTATAAATTGATTTATGGGGAAATATTTTACCACGCTTTCTTCCTTTTTGCGTGCGAGCGAAATTTTGAGACCGCCTCATTTTGCCTCAAATTTTGGTTGTTTTCAAGTCGACGACCACGAAAATTGATTTTGTCGATTTTGTCCAAATCCAAGCGGCCTTTTGAAAAACAAACTACACCACGTTTAGTCACTTACTAATAAGTATGTATGGATGGATAAGATATGAGCGAAATCCGTGGCCGCCGCTGGCTCGATTTTTACAGACATTCGCTCGTAAGTCCCTAATAACATTTAACGCGAACGCAATTCCTAATCTTTCTATACCTGTGGTATTCAGGGGTGATGGAAAGATATCGCTATTCTGAAGTTAAGTAGTACTTTATCAAAGGTGTCATGGTAGACTAGAATTTTTAAAAAAACGTGCATTCCAGTTTCAGTGGTTATTATGTCGAGTCCGGTGGAAGCTGCAAGTGGAGGTGACGTCAGACCCATGACTGAAGAATCTCAGGAAGGTGACTTAGAAGCGTCAAAAGGTTAGGAAAAAAATCTTTTGTTTTTAAAAGATATCAAACTGTACTTGATTTACTTGTTACAGGCAACAGAACTTGGTGTCATTTGAATCTATTGACTGTATTGGCTGTGTCGTCAAAGACACGGAATGCGGCTTAAGTGATTTCAAATGTAAAACATGACTTGAACGCTTAACAATATTTAAAAACTGTTATTATATTTTAGCCGTTTCGTCGCTTAAGAAACCAGTGAAAGTTGCAAGTACAACAGGTAGCAGATCAACGACCGCAGAAATACTGAAAGCAATCGAGCAGAGGTTGCAGGCTACACGGAAAGACGATGAAGACACCTCAGCAGGTGAGGAGAGAACAGTCTCGTTCTGAATCCTTTTCTTAAACAAATAGACCAAAATTCAGTAACAATTCGACATTTGCCATTCATCGACTGCAGCTATGGAAAATTCAAAGGCTCCGGAATTGTCAGTATTTTGTGCCCAACAGAGGCTTCATCGAGTCCCATAGGCTATGGGGCAGTTATTGTAGGGAACAATCGTCTCGGTTAGCTGGATTGTCAGGATTTTCCACGATTCTGGGTAAAAATAACAATTTTTCTGGTCAGTCGTTGGTGAGATTAGATAAAATTGACAGTTAATCTTTGGAGTTGCATCGTCTCATCAGAACCACTTGAGGTAATGTCTTTGCTGTATATGGAGTACCGACTTGGCATGCGAACGTTGACGGTTAAGGACATCAGCGGTCATCGCCGGCGCGCACAAATACTTGACAGAACTTTAGAGTGAGCAATTAAAACAAACTTCTTTCCAACGCACCTCAACGTGATTAAATTTTAGGCATAATCTATCCATTGTGGCCAACGTGAATTTAATCGCTCCGGTTATGCTCTGCCTTTTAGTCTTTCCACTTTGTCCTCGTAACAAAGTAGGTATTTATTTTGTTGGAAACACTGAAAGCGGATTCAGGATCTCCATCATGGTACTTTCTTGGTAACTTGGATTCATGAACATTAGCTATTGTTATACACGCTTTTAATAAGTCTGGGCGCCATCTTGAATTTTCAATGAATGACGTCATTCGCAGAAAGATCATGCAGGTAGCCAAAATGGCTACCAAAGATGAAATCTCTGTTGACGTTGATTTTGCAGTGTGTTCATATAAAAAGGAATGTTTTCACTTAATATAAAGAGGAATACTTTCTTTCTACAATGCCTTTATGGGTATGTTATCGTAACTTTAAAGCTTTCGTGTAAAGATATTCCTGGATCGATGATATCGAGGGCAAACGAGAGCTGATTTAAATGCAAAAAAAAGTGCGTAATCGTCGTGGCTTATGTCAACAGACACGAGCTTAACTTCTTCCCAGGTAATCTTTTTTAGCAATGGTTTTGATACTTTTTCATTTTTTACGCGGGCCTTTATTAAAAAAGCTTAAAACGATTAATTATTACCGCTCGTAAGAGTTTATCAGATATTAAATAAAAGCTAATTGAAAGGATTTTTCATGTTGCTATTCTGATCCTTTCAAAATGTACGATAATTCTATCTCGATAAAAAGTTTATGCTTTTCATCATAAGTTTTTTATGTTATTATGTATAGGTTTTAGGGTAAGAAAGAAGATGGATAAAAACGTTTATACTCCAGTCGACCCTTGCACAGAATAATTTTTCACTCTGGGAAGGCGTAGCTGAGTAATCCAGAAAGCTATCAGCTCGATTCCTGTTTAGAGGTGTAGCCACTAAAGAGAGCTGGAGCAGGGATGCATCAATTCTTACAAAGCACTGTACTTACATTTACATTGTTGAACAAGCAACGAAAAACTCAAAAAACACCCTTGAAAGGGGATACAAATTTTTATTTGAAAATGACTGTCACGACGATTCAGGCTTATATGGACAATAAATTCATGTAGAGGGAATCCGTTAAATCACTGAGGAAGAATGAATTACCTCACAATGTTAACAGTTGTGATAAATGCTCTTGTACAGCAGGAGGAAATGGTAACCGTAATCACATGTTTACATTATATAAGTGTTTGAATTCACTGAATTCCCAAGAACTGTAATGTGCGCAATTCAAAACAGTAACACAAACCAAGGACCTAGGGTACGAACCCTAATTCATATAATGTATAGAAGGCATATAATGTCATCGGTCCTTATTACAGGGAGAAATGGGGGGTTTAAGGTGTCTCTTGTATGCATCCAGGCAACATACTTCAGTGTCATGACCACTATTCCAAGGTGCCAAGACCTAGAGCTGTTGATGGCTCCTTTCCTGAATTCCCAATTGACACTGACACACCAGCTTGAGTGGGATTGCAAATCCCCCTATTTTCAGGAGGAGCAATTTATAAGTTGTTTAAAAATTCCTAATCCATCCTTAATTGAGAATGAAAAGGTCAGAGCAAAAATACGTTGTGGTTTCAAAGTAAAAGGTTCAGGTCAACTAGTTGTAATTTGCACTTGTTTGCGAATGGAAACTCATCTCTCACTGCAAACTAGGTTTGTTCAAAATAATCTTGTGTCACAGAATGATGTTTTTAATAATATTAAATGGCAAATTGGCCTTAAGCAGCAACTAAATATGCTGAGTACATGAAAAATACTGGTTTAGCATATATATTTATATCTACATATACATTCATATTCAGGGCTTAGAGTGTGGTGTTGTCATATCAAGTACAATGTCATAGTTGGCTGCTTTACCAAACAGAAGAGTGATAGATAATAAATATCAAGTTATGGTTTATTAGAAATAAAATGCTCTTTTACATTATGAAACTTGACACCTGAGAAGGCAAGTTCTGTCAACTTCAACTTCAACTTCAACTTCAACTTTATTTCATAAGACTATTGGTTACAATAGACTGGCCCGCAAAATAGCAATTGCTTATCTAGGCGGACCAGTTAAAAGAAAAATACATTGAAAGGAAAAGGAAAGAAAAACTACAATTTGAAGTTACAATGAATAATATTCTATCACAGTTTTATTTTAATTACATTAAATCTGAACAAGCAAACAAACAAATACTTTAATACAGAAATCACTAAACTATTAATCGAACTTTTTGAACTATTAAGGGCGTCTCAATATAGTCATCCTCTCTTTTTAAGATATCCGAAAGCAATCTGTGAAGTACTTTCCTAAATTTCTTTTTAGGAAGATCTCTAATATGACAAGGCATCTCATTCCAAAGTTTTACACCAAAGCGAGACAAGGAGTTTTTGTGTATTTCCAGCTTTTAGCTTTTGACGTGAAAGTTACCTGAACTAGATGATCTTGTATAGTAAGAATGAATTGTTGAGGTTTTTTCAAATAAATTGAGCAGATTTGTTGGCGAATTGTTGTTGTTAATATCGTGCATTAGATTAGCCACAGTTTTATAATACATAAATGACACTGGTAATATGTCAGCGTCTTTGAAGGCGACAAGGTCGTCATATTTACTGGAGACGAATTCAAGCGAATGAGCACGTTCTGACGACATTTTCTTCTCGGCGTCCGGCTTCGTCAACTCCGCTTTCTTTGACCAAAATTCTTCGGAAATTTTCTGGAGTTTTTCTTTCAATTCAGCTATCTCATTTCGTAAAGATTGATTTTCCTTCCTCAGCTTTTCATTCCCGGTCATAATTGGCAGAAGAAAAGACGCAAATTCTAATCTTAGCTCGGAGAGCTCTTAAACACACGTCCGACCAGTACAAGCACCGCACCAGTTCTGTTCCAGGGTTTTACTGTCACATAGTTAATGGTAAGCCTGAGCTCAAAAGGGTCCACCTATTTCAGGGTCATTTGGGTTGGGCAGGATAAAAGTGGTGCTGTCTTCAATATTTTTTTAAAAAAAGACTGGTTATATCTCACTTAATATTTAGCAGTTTTTTACCTTCTACCTTTAGTGCTAAAATTTCAGAAAATCAGAAATTTCAGCGTCGGATTCGTGTAAGCTGTGTCGCTCAGCATCATTTGGCTCAACACACACCTTACTCCTGTGGTGTTTACCATATTTGGTTTCCTTCGAATCAGATTCCTGTTCAACTTTATCTTATTTTAGATCTTAGGGATAACGTATGGCTTGTGTTCAGGGCATTTAAACACCGATCGAGGGGAGGCTGCACGTTTTCAAAAGCTAGCGACCACTATTATAAGACAATACAATACAACACTTCCGAAGTCATCATCCCCAAAATGAAAAGAAGAGACGATTGTATGTTTCTGCCCCTAGCAAAAAAGCAATATTTGAGAGATGAATATAGCGGTACGAATTAGAACCCACACACAAAAAGACTAAGTTAGAGCCCTTTACGGTGGAGTACTCCTCCCTTTTAATTCGCTGCAGCCGTGCTAGCTTTTAATACATGCTGATCGCTTGGAATCTTATGTCACATTTCTCAGTGTTGCGTTTGTTATCGAACATGATATCCCCGTATGACTTGCAAAGACGAACCGCACAACTGCGATTACTTTAGCCTGGGAAAAGGATTCGCTGGTATTTGTTAATGTTTATACAGGAAAAGAATGGAATAAAGCGATTCATAATGGCCTGACTTTGCCTCTCGTCCTGACATGGTACTGTCACGCGAGTCAAAAACTCAAAGATGGCGGCTGAAGTCTTTCCGCGAATGACGTCATAAATTAAAAATTCAAGATGGCGCCCAGACTTATTAAAAGCGTGTATATTCCTAGACTTTCACTCAACTAAACAGGGACTGCCATTGGTTGATTCTCTCCGCTCGGAATACATTACAGCACGTGATCAAAGCATGGTGGAAAGTGGCGTGGCAGAAGGCGGGAAAAACATTGCCAGTTTTCTTTTACGTGATGAACACATCAACACAAACATGAAGCCTCAAGCTAAAAAGCGACGATTTTGAAAGTTATCCCAGCAGAGAAACAGCAGCTAGTGAGGAGGAGAAAGATGCGGATGATATAAGGAAAGTTCTTTGAAAATCATTCATTCAGTGATTTTGGGAATTAAATTTGTGTTGTCTGGAAAGAAATCACATATAGAAACTCCATCATTGACCTGATGGAAGAATTGGATATTTATAAGCAATTCCATGCAGACACCAAATCATGTACGTACGAAACTAAAAATTCAAAGTTGAACTCTAGAATTGAATTTTTCCTCGTATCTCGCCCTATCTCATATAATGTTAAAAGAACCGAGGTGCGCTCTTCCATAACACCAGACCACAAAGCAATTTTCTTAGGTATGGAGTTACAAAGTGAGCTTAAAAGAGGGCCTGGGACGTGGAAATTCAATAATACTTTGTCAGAAGATCAAGACTATATAGATCTAATAAGTTTTATTTACCCTCGTACACTAGAAAAATACAAAGATGTAGAAAGCGAGCAACTTCTTCTTTTTTTTTTCAATTGAATCTTTATTAGCAACTCTACAAACAGCACAATGCAATTAACTAATTAACAACAGTAGTAGCCACTAATTACAATTACACTAATTACATTAGTTACATTACCAAGTGAATAAAGGAAAAGAGAAAAACTAAAAAGAAAAAAAAACTTTACATAAAATATAGTATTCTTAAAGTTCATAAATGTCAATCGATCACAAAAGCCTTAGTTTGATAGTAAGCAGTACACAACTACAAGAAAACCGTCTCTAGAGCTGGTAACTTGGGAACATAATTATATACATTTGCCAATTAAACTAACAAATACCATCGAAGAATGGGACCAAAGGATCCCATTTCTTGTTAATTTGTAGGATTGTTTGTGGATACTTGTTTGTAGGATTCAATTTTATCTTGGGACTGAAGGGTCTTCAAAAACATTTTTAGCTTAGGGGTCCTGTTACAGGTTCTACAACCCCAGATGTAGTATCTGGTTAAAAGAAAGCAGAAGTTTATATGAAGAAAAAATTTAGAGGTATCCGACTTTAGGCCTTAAAAAACTGCGATATCCATCGAGTAGTCTCTAGATATAAAGTCGAAATCAGTAAGCTTTTCAGTCAAGGTTCCCCCCAAAATTTGAACGTTTGGACAGTGCCAGAAAAGATGAGAGAGATTTTCCTCAGTGGTACAGCGAAAGGAGCAGTTTGGGTCTTGCGTGATACCAGTCTTTGTCAGAAACGAGTTTGTGGGAAGTATTCTATGCAGAAATCGGTATTGAAAATTAATAAGTGTCGTGCTATTAGTACACTTGAAAGCCAAGGTATATATGCTGCATTCCAATAAGCAACACATCCCTCCTGGGAGACGGTAGTGTTCCATTTCGCCTGACTTCTCGCCGGGGTGGACGTTTTTTTACGAACAAGTTTTTTGTAGACGACCTTAGTTCCTTTTGCGTTTTTAAGGAATAAGGTAAGAAGTTAATCTTCTGGGATTGAAGGAGTAGGGTTTTGTGTGATGCTACTATTTTTGACTTGTTTAAGGGCAGATACAAGTCCAAAATATTTTAAAGGTTGGAATTGACAATTATATTTTTCAATAAAACCTGTGTGAGAAAGGAAGTTATGTTGTTCATTCACAAAATCCTTTACCTTTGAAATTCCTAGAGAAAAGAGGTTTTTATCGAAGACGGGCTTGTTTTTGATCCTAATTAGCGAATTGTGCCATATGGGTTGCTCAAGAAAATGTTCCTTGGTTTTAACAACTTCTTCAAAATTGACTTCAGACCATATTTCTAGCAGCTCTCTTGTAAAGTAGTTTTAACTGATATTGTCTTGAGGGAGTCAGACTTGTTAAGATTGCCCCTAAAGATAAGATTTCCGCCATATTTTTCAAGATCAAGCTCGACAAATTCTTTCCACTATCCGTGGTTTGATGTATCAAGGTATTTACGTACTATCCAAGTAGTCTTAAGAGATTTATTGAATGAACTTAAATCGACCTTCTTTAGTCCGCCATGATCATAGTTGCTTATCAAAAGGGTTCTCTTGATCTTGTCACCCTTGTTGTTCCAAAGAAAACTGTAAAAAATGTTGTTTATCTCGCCGATAAACCTCTGGTTTGTTGCCATTGGTGTTAAAATATACGTCAGTTGAGATAACGCAAAGCTCTTTAAAACCTGAATCTTGCCAATTAACGTTAGCCGTCGGTACTTCCAACAGCTTAGAAGATTTCTTATTTGTTCCAGTTTTTCTGTGTAATTTAGATTCAGTGTGACAGTCGGGTCAGTTGAAATCCAAACACCGAGGACCTTGACTTTTTTTTCTGGCCATTTAAAAATTTTTTCTGGGAGGAGTTTTTCGTTCTTGCCCACATTTGACCCAATCTCTCAATTCAGCGGGCCCAACTATCTCGAAGCCTGCAACAGGCTAACCCGATCCATAAGGTTTCAGTTTTCTTGTCGTTAAGTTTGAGGCCAGACGCATAGCCGAAATTATCTATAGTATTAAGGGTGGCTGATAAAGATTCTTGTTCGCCGTTAAGGATCGGGGTATTGTCATTCGCGTTTGGCTTATCTTAATTTCTGTGTTATTAACAGCGACACCTTTAATGTGAGAGTTAGCCCTAATTGATTTCCCTAGCACTTCAACAGACAGGATAAACAAATAGGGCGACAGAGGGCAGCCTTGCCGAACTCCTCGAAATCGCTCGACCATTCATTGTTCAAAATGCAACTTTCAATGTCGGTATAAAAAGTTCGAACCCAATTTGTTAAGGAGTGAGCCGAAACCAAAATATTGGAGCGTGTGATTAACAAAAGACCACTCAAGGGAGTCGAAAACATTTTCGAAGTCGATGAAAAGTAACAAACCGGGGATTTCTTGTTGTGCTGTATAATTTATGAGACTATCGATCAATCTTATATTTTCTCCGATAAATCTACCTTTTAAAAAGCCAGTCTGATCATTATTAATTAGTTGTGGAATAACTGATTTTATTCGATTTGCGATGGCCTTCGTAGCTATTTTATAATTGCAATTAAGGAGAGTTAAGGGACGCCAGTTTTTGATAAGGTGCGGATTAGTGTCTTTTTTTGGTATTAGTTTGATCACTCCTCGTCTCTGGGAGACCGAAAGCTTTCCTGCCTTGTAAGCGTAGTTAAGCGAAGCAATCAATCTAGGAGCTAAGTCATCCCAAAAGGTTTTGTAAAATTCAGCTGGAGGTCCATCAATCCCTGGGGTTTTTCCGGAATCCATATCTTTTAAAGCATTTAGGCATTCCTTCATAGTTCACAGCTCAGCTCAGTCATTTTCATCCAAGGATGTGTCATTCTCGAGTTGAAAGAATTCGTTATCTGATGTGATTGTGTTTCCTTGAGATGTGTAAAGAGTTTTGTAGAAAGTTTCACACTCAGAGAGAATTTCAGAATCAGAGGTGACAAACTCATTCTCATTAATTTGGAGCTGACTAATAGTGTTAAGCTTACAATGCCTCTTTCAGTTTCAAGATTGAGAAAATATTTAGTATTTTTTTCTCCTCCATTATACCATCTTGCTTTGCACCTTAAAATTGCTTCTTGTGTGCGCCACTGTATTATATATTCTAGTTCCTTTTTGCACAGATCTAGTTCTTCTGTAAGGGTATTGCTGTACTCTGACCCGACCGAACACCGGGCTAAATCTTTCTGAAGTGACAAAATTTTTTCCTCTAAAACACTTTCCTTGTTTACCGCTTGGCGTCTTTTGCCAATCGCATAACTGATTGATTTCTATCGGACTTTCATTTTTATCATTTCCCAAAGAAGAGATGGGTTGACTTTAATTTTTAGATCCAAAGTTAAGTGGATAGAACAAGGAGAAAAACCATCAAAGTATTTTTTTTAATCAATAGAAAAGAAAAACTACGTAACGAAAACCTTGCTTCAAATTAAGTTAGATAATGGTGAAATCACTTCTGATATGAAAAAGATAAATAAATAAATAAATAGAGGTGTTTTTTAGCGAAACATACAAATCCAAGCTTACTGATGTCCGCTGTCTGAACAGGAATTAGGACTCAGTGACTTTATTCAAAACTTGGAAATTCCACGTCTGTCTAACGAGGAACAAGCGAAGTTTGAACATGACTTAACTGTACAAGAAATTAAAAATGTGTTACATTCTTTTGAGAAAAATAAAACTCCTGGTGAAGACGGTTTCAGCAAAGAATTCTATGAAACTTTCTTTGACCTTTTAAAACAGAATCTACTTGATTCGTATAATGAAGCTTTTCAGAAAGGCAGTCTCTCAGTATTCCAGAGAAGAGGAGTAATTTCTTTAATTCCAAAAAATGACAGCGATGACACTACGCTGATATCTAAAGACACCAATTCCCTTAAATTCTCGGTACAGATCATCCGAAGTCTCGGCAGCATATCTGGTTTACGTCTAAATGAGAAAAAAAACCTAAGCAACGTGGATTCGCTCCTCAAAACATGAAAAAAGCAAAATATTGGAATTTCACATCATAAAAGACCCCATTAAAATACTCGGGGCGTACTTGTCGTATAACGCAGGCAAGAAGAACGATGCCTACTTCTTCAGCAAGATTCGTAAAATGAAAACTAAACTAAACCTCTGGCAAACGCGTGACCTTACGCTTTTTGGCAAATCCTTTTTAGCCAAGACGCTTGGTGCCTCTCAGTTAATCTACACTGCTTCACTAATGACTGTCCCTGGTGCAGTAACACGCGTGGCTCAAAGCCTCCTGTTCTCGTTTTTGTGGAAAAATAAGAAAGATAAAATTAAACGAAATGTTGTATGCCAGCCACTTGAAAATGGTGACTGGAATATAAATTAGCCTCTGTTGACATATGTCATTAATCCAGATTCAATTGAACACACCTTTTTATATTGTCAAGAATTAAAGGAATTCTTTGGCAAAACGTTAAGGTGGTTTAATAAATATCATAAAGAGAACGTACAACTTTCAAACAAGCAAATTTTATTTAACACGTTCGATGACTCCCCTCCAATGCAAATGCCAAATTCAACTCAAAGCACACTTCGTCTGTTGGTTTTACTGCAAAAGAAATACTTGTATACTTGTATACTTGTATACATGTCGCTA